TCTTCTTCAATTCCACCGGTACAATCTCGTCTTTTTCGTCGACGATGTTCGCTGTCTGAAGCCATGAAGAGATTTTGGAATCAAAACCCTCTTCGTTGACAACGTCTTTCAAATCATTGATACGTTTCATCCATACCGCTTCGTATGCTTCTCGTGCTGCTGTCACCGCTTTGGATTCTTTGAAGATGTCCTTGTCATCGTCCTTCTCAGTCTTCAAACCATATACTTGTACATGACTTGTTGACGCTGTCGGATCTTGTTTAGAAACTTTGTAAAGACGCACAAATTTGGGAATAAAGATCAAGAGCAAGACAGCCATACTCATGATAAACACWATGCTCGAAAGCACAAAAAATCGTGCATTTGCGTTCCCATGAACRATATAAAAGAGAGGAATACCCACCAAAACAACTTGAAGAAAGGATATCATAATCAGTCCGATGTAAACCGATTCTCCATATTTTGTATCAATGTTTCGTGCCTTGTAAGACTGTACRTTCGCAACAAYCAAAAGTCCGATGTTCGTAAACCCCAGAAAACCAATTATAACCTGCCATGCGAGAGAATCAGTATCCACGACGGAGCAGCCCCCGTAACTTTCACGAAATTTATCTTCGATTTCTTCTCTTTTCCATATCAGTGGATCCAAAATGGTCAAAAGCGTCATTAGGATAATATTWACTCCAAACAGAAGTATGATTCTTCCCATCATATCCTTCTCGGAGATTYTCACAGATCGGAAATGCTTCGAATTATTCACAACTAAATTAATCCTTCGTAGCTTGGCTTCAAGCGCAGAAAACATCATTGTCCAGCCCAAGCAAATGAGCCAGGGAATAGCCATACACGCCCTACTGCAGGCTTCCTGTGATGAATGATTATCGTCAATAGTCATTGGAAAAATACTTGATGAAAAAATGAAGACTCCAGCACAGAGCAGAATCAGAAACAGCGGCTGCGAAGCTTTCACAACGCTAGTCGAGCGTTTTATGTAGGCAGCAGTGGCAAAAACCACAGCCATGACCATGGGCAAGAAACAAATGAAATAACCGTAGTACCGGACTCCATTTTTCAGATAGTTCATTTCACTATTTGTGTCCGCGACGTTTCGAAGTCTCTGGTACTGGTACAGAAGTGGACTTTTGGTGCTCGGCTTTGAGTCGTATTCATYGATCAGCTTTGTCAAACTCGTGGTCAATGTTTTGGCATGCTTCTTCCTTGCATCTTGACGGTCGGATTCCAAAATTRCACCATTTCTTGTTGCATTTAAATARTGAAAGGCTTCAGCATCTAAAAGCGAGTATATTTCTGTTGCCAGAGGGAAACGAATGTCGATCACGGCATTCTTGGACATGTGAGCTTTTTTGATGGTAGTAATATAAGTCTCAACACTGCTTTGGTCGTAACCATTTTCYGTCCACTTGGTTACATTCTATAAAGTAAAGCAAGAAGCAGCAGCGAAAAAAGAAAATGAATTTACACATCCAACAAATTCATTTTTGATGTCACAATACAAAAAGAGGYGTACTYACCAAATGAGATTCTCGAAATGGGTCAAGACCTGCAACGGCGGTGGAAGCATTTTGCAAAACCAGTTTTTCCGACACTCTGCGACTAGAAGCATAGGCACAAAATTCAGCAGCAAGGGCTTTTTTTTTYGGCGAGATGTAATTGTTCACAGCGCAGACCCTGTGTCAAAAGAGAGAAAGACARCTTTTGTTGAGAAAATAGGTCGATGTTTCAACTGCAGAACAAAAACAAAACTATATGATGGCACTATCACAGKGAGCGTACCATCCTCCAAAGGCAAAGTATGGCGAACGATTGATCCATCCGTCACTGCACAATTCTTCGGTGCAATTTACAAGTTTCATGGTGTCTCGATCTAAGACGCGTGTGCTCCCCGGGGTCATTGCGACCCCCAACTCCGCTTCCCCTTTTTGAAATGCGGTGCCCTCATTCATGTGCGTCGTAAAGCTGTCGCCCCAGTTATAGGTTAAGACACAAGTGCCATTGTTCATGTGCKCTTTGTTGAAAGGCATACAATTTTCAWATTCGWRAGGCGCTCCGWACTCAGATTGGATTTCMARCCATTCCAACGTYTGTTCAAATGCCTCTCCCAGCAACGGCTTCATATCGGCTGTATCAAACAAGGATCCTGACTCCATGCCCTTCGTTTGTGTCATGGAGCTCAAAACAAGATTTGTCCAGTACTTGCCTGAACAGCCCAACCTTCGTCCGACACAAGATCCACTCAATWTTKTGTYATTGAATWWTTKTCCATGCGTTGCATTCGCAACAGCGTTGTATTCTTCCCAGGTTCGCGGCACTTCCAAMYCAAAATGATCCAAAACATCCTTTCTGTAATACATGAAATGCATGTCGCCGTCCACTGGAAGACTTCTAATCGTTTCTTCAAACTTAGAAAACGAATCTTTATAAACAGGTAGAATATCGCTCCATTCCTCAACCTGRTTTGAATCCTCCTTTACGAAACTCCTCCATTCCTCCATCTCATTCRTATCCTTCTTCATAAAACCTGTCAGATCGGTCCAGCCGTCCTCTTCTAAAGCTGMTCCCATCACGTATGGAGGGGTAATGAAAATATCGTAGAGACCTGTTTTAGTAAGGGCGTCACTGGCGACTCCCTTAGCAACGTCTTTGCTCGATTTAAGTTTGATAGTATTCACATGTACATCRGATCGTTCTTCAGAGAAATGAACAGCACCTTGAGAAATCCACTCTGCATTGGTCGTTAGCAATTGGAGTTGTGTTACGTTTTCGCCKGTCACTACTTTTTTTTCGGGCGGGTGGGCTGCGGCGAAAGAATCGTTTCTAGAAGAAACAATCACAGCGAGTACTGCTGCTGCTGCTGCTAGCATATTAAATCTATGGCTTTTTGTAAAGTCGCAAAGCTTTGGGTTGGTCTTTTGTTTCTTTTCCACGAATTCAGGTCTAGACATTTGTGTTATGTCTCGTGACGTACAGGTACAACTTACGAATTAATTTCTTGGTATTTCTGATTCGACTGCTGGTATTTTTATTTCCTCGTAACGCAGGTAATCTGGTACTGTACTGTAAGAACGTTCCAGGAAATTCTTCTTACAGTAGTATTATTTGTACGAGTATCGTACGGCACATGTGTCAATTTTTTTTACATCCTCAAAACAAAGGTGTTGTTTTCGTGTTTCCCGCTCACCTTCGTTTTTTTGTTGCATAACCCTGCCAAAGAATATATCAGGCTATATCAAACTGATACGGATAATTGGTTAATCGATATTTATGGAAACATTGCATTTCTGCTTAATGTGGTTATCAAGCTCTCGCTGCAACCCCTCTCAAACCACCAAAAAGGGGTCATATTTTGAAATTACGATGATCAGCCAACCGGGCACCCCAAAAACTCCAACAAGCTTAAAAAAAAATTGCGAGGAGGCTATTTTGAGAAAGCAAGACCCAGACAGTTTTGATATTCTCTGACCCTTTTTGTTCACAGCCTCAACTGTTGTCGTTACAGAACCGTTATAAATACGCGAACTTTATTTATGGTTTGTTTGAGCTTGAATTTTGACGTCTACAATTGAATGTCCTTTTTTCTCAAAGGTTCTAAAAAACCAATACCTTCGAGTTCAGCACCGTATCGTATCGTACGGTACGTACTTATGTGATCTGCTAGAATCTTGTTTAAGGTTCCTTCGAGAAGTGTATTTGGAGAGTTCACTGCGCGTCTGTCCTTCCGGTCTGGAACTTATTTGATCAGGACTACGACCATCCTACCGTTCGATGATGTAAACATCGTACGAACTTGCTCATTCAAACGTGGTACATTACCGTACGGTACTTTGTACCGCATCTGGATATACGTGCACTCGTGACTACCTTACTGGTACGTCGGAACCTAACTAATAAAAATACAGTATTATCCGTAACACAATCTACGGTACGGTACAACCATCATCGTGATGAAGTTCATTACAGTATTGAATAAAAAATTCAAAAAATGCTCACACAATGGTTCAAGTACTGTACCGAGTACCGTACCGTAAGAACCTTTTGGACAACTCACATTATCATACGATTCTGGATAGCAGGATACCTTTTCATTTTCTTATCTATCGTCGAGGAGGACTAAAATCAAACTAGCAATCGAAGGACGCCAATCATAATGGCAACAGAGGSGTTCGTTCCAGATGCCGATACAGCGGACCTGCAACGAGAAGAGGTGCAAGCCCTCGAAGCTATTTTTGAGGACGCCTTCGAGCTACGATCCATTCGTAAGCAAGACGACGAAGACGGTATGGATACYTTTGATTTCCCCATTGTGTATTGCATCAAACTCAACGACATGGATACGGCAGACGACGATGGCAGCGGCAACAGTGGCTACGACGGGACGAAAAATTGGCCGACACGTCCCCTGACGGTGGAAGTCCGATATCCCAAGAACTATCTATCGGACGAAGACGGTGACGACGAGAACACCGCACGGGGCGCAACCGCTACCGATCCCACGTTCCGGCTGCTTCACGAAAATTCTGTTCTGGAGTTCCCATCGTCCGTTTCCGAAGGGTTGCTGGCGGTCCTCGCCGAGACGGCCGAGAGCGAACGCGGCATGCCCTGCGTCCTGTCGTGCSTCTACGCTGCTCGTGACTATTTGGATCGAGAYCGGGAATGGGACGACCRGAGCAACCAACCCGCAAGAAACRAAGGGAACGATCTCGACGGGGCCTTCGCCCAAAACTGCTCGATCGATGCTATATYTCACGACAACCAGACCACACATACAAACGACTCTTGTCACTACGCCTGCCTATCGACGCACCATTTATTGGACCACAAACCGGACAACCTGCTRAAAACCGGCTTTAAAAAATGCAGGCTGAGGGGCTTCTACAAATTTGGGACCCCAGGAATCGCCATTGCGTGGGGAGACAAGGAYCAGATCGAGGACTTTCTCGATGTCCTCAAGCAGGCCATGCCGCAGAAAAAGTTCGATCTCGTCTTTTGYCGTACGTGGGAAAACATWCAAGAGATACCCAACGTTTGGGAGAGCGTGGATCCGCCAACCCTGAAACAAGAATTGGACAAGCTTGGTCTTCCGGAGGAGGATTACTACACGGCACTTGGTCTCGAAAAAAGAGGCAAATAGTGAATAAGCATTTTAGAACCACACAAGGTGCGATCCGAATGGGACCAATCCTGGAACATCTAAAAATGCGGTAGATTCCACAAGATAAGGCAATTAACAAATCGCATTCCAGCTAGATTCCTCTGTTTTGGAAATTGAGTTGGTATAGAAAGAGGAGTTGCAAAGTATTTTCGACTTCTTCAATACCAATGATTTACAGGATTCCTCGTTGTTTCGGTCGGATAGCTTTTCATTGGCGGTTCCCACTGCGCTCCATCTATTGGTAGGCACTCCTGCGATCTATTGGTAGGCACTCCTGCGATTCCAAACTCATTGTTTTTCCACTTGACCCTTATCGAGTATAGCTTCTTCGGTGAGAGAACCAAAGATTTCAGACCCTTTTCTTTCGAGCTTTTTTCGCAATGGTTGGCACGCCGTAGTAGAATTGAGTAGCTTTCACGTTCAACAGTGATTGTATCTTTTGCGTGATTTGTTTGGGATCCTTCGTTTGTTCGAGTTATGGGACACGCGAAAGGAAACGAGAAGTTGCATGGTAGGAAAGTATGCCGTTGAGCCGCCTGGGGCCGTAAAAGAGCACGTACGGCCACAGCAGCGGATTGCCGTGCCACAATTCCTTCATTTCGGTGACCAGAAACTCGCTCTCGGGCAGCCCGAGRCGCGTCATTTGCCGCAGCTGTACGGTCACGTGGAGCCGCGAGGGGAGGCGCAGAGATCTTCCTCCCAGCGTGTATTCCTGGTGGAGCAACAGGACGAGCTCGATCGAGTCTCCCAGCGGCCGGACATCGATGCACCGGGGCGGGGACACCGAAACCGGGTTCAGCGCCCCCAGCGCGCGGAAGGCTTCCCCGACCTCCTCCGCTCCTACGCAGACCGCGGCCGGGTCCTCGAAGGTCGCCGTGGGTGCCAGCTCGACGCCGCCRCCGGATGCTGCTTCGGTTCCCCTGCCACGATACAGCCKGCCGACCCAGTCGGTGACCAGGTCGTAGTGCTTGGCGTCGAAGCACTCCGYCTGTTCGCTTTTGCCGGGGCGGCTRGGGTCGATCCCGCCGATTCCGGCGCGGGCGATCGATGCCAGGCTGAACGCGACGTGGGTCCCGACGATGGTCGTTGCCAGCGGAAGGATCTGGCGAAAGGACGTCATTCCCGCCATGGTGTTTCRGCGTGTCTCGCTTGAGCCCAACTCTTTCGATGGCATTGCCGACGGAYGCCATCGGGACTTGTGCTTCCGCGTTCGAAATTGGAACAGGAACAGTATCGTACTTCTGTATCTCGGTTGTTGATGCGTTCGGTTTCCGACCGAGTCAGTCAGTCATGAGTGAGTCATGAGGGATGTTTTCGGACAGTTATTCATAGTTATCAATAGTATGATAGTACTGGTATGATGCATATGCTTTCCTGTTTCTTGTGCATCCAAAATGGTCTCCGTCACGAGAAGTGGGGACCCTACTGAATCTCTGCAGGAGTTCCTACCGACCGTCCTGTGCGTACGTACCGGTACCTCTACGAAGGAAGATTTTCAGATTTTGATTCATTCGATCTTTCGGTTCGATCATTCSTTTTTCTGTGTTTTTTATTTCGGTGGTCTTGATGATCGCTGCCACTTCATTCTGCCATACGATCCATAGACACATCCATCTTTTCCCMCGGTTCGTGGATCCGAGACATAGGTGGCGTCACCAAAGCACAGAGAACAGAAGAGAAGGCGAACCAAAAGGGCGTCGTCTTGGCGATGAATGATCCCGGCCCGGCTCCGGATGGGAACATCGGCAACGATACAGCTGTCTTTACGGGCGTCCCGACGACCCCGGAGGATCTGTACGGCATCATGCTATTCTTCCTGGCCCTCGTTCTGATGGGCGACTGYGTCTGCCAACGCCTCCTGAAAATCGTCCCKTCGCTGGTGGGATACATTCTCGTCGGGATCGCCTTTGGACCGGAGGGATTCGGTGTCCTGGGAAGCAACACCGAAGAAACCCTTGCGGTCCTGGGAAACCTCGGGCTGGTCCTCCTGATCGCCCAGGCCGGCCTGGAGATGGACTACGCCACCCTCCGGCTCGTCGGGCTCCGCGGCGTCGCCGTGGCKGTGGTAGGAACGATCCTCCCCGTGTCGATCGGCACCGCGGTGGCGTCCCGGTATTTGGGGAGCTGGAGGTCGGCCCTGTCGGCCGGGTGTTCCTTCGGGCCGACCTCGGCGGGAATCGCGATGAACGTCCTCGGCCAGTGCACGGTTCGACCCGCCCGCTCGGGGGGCGGGTTGTCGTCTCCCGGAKGCGGGAGCAACGAAGACGGTGACGGCGGGAGCGACAACGGCGACACGGACAGCGGGAGCGTCCTGCGGCTGCCCGTTGGTCAGTTGATCGTTGCCGCGGCCATTGTCGATGACATTCTTGCACTGGTGGTACTCAGCCAGCTACAGGCGTTGACCACCACCACCACCGACGCGGCCGGATCCGACGGCGGYACCAACAACAACATTGCAATGGACATTGCGTTACCAATCGCCAGTGCCGTRCTGTGGCTTGTCGTGGGTGGGGGGATYGCCCTCTGGGTCTTCCCAAGGGYTCTTTCCACAATATTTGATCGAGTGGCTAAGGGGCGACCATCCGTGGAGGGAGCGAGGGAGAGCGGGGGCCTGTCCCTTGGCGTCCTGTTTGGATTGCTCTACGCGCTGCTTCCCGCCACCTACCTTACGGGGGCCTCACACCTGCTGGGGGSCTTTCTGAGTGGGCTGGCCTTCTGCAGGGACCCYACGGGGGTCGCGTCCCTTTTTCGGAGTCGCTTTGGGCGGCTCGTGGAGTGGCTGATGAAGCTCTTTTTTGCGGCCTCGATCGGCTTCCAGGTCCCCGTTCGGTCCTTCGGCGACACCGAGGTGGTGTCGCGCGGTTGCTTCTTTTCGCTCGCGCTGCTTGGGAAGCTCGCCGTGGGCCTGATGACCCCGACCAACCTCGATCCCTCGGGCGAACGAACCAGCAGCAGTGACAGCAACGACGGCAACGACGACAATGGACATCCGGACACCGCCAGCCCCAACGCTCGGTCCTTCTGCCGCGGGAAGCACGCCCGGGACTGCTTTGTGGTCGGRTTTAGCATGATGGGGGAAGCCGAGTTTGCCTTTGTCGTTGCCGTCTTTGGTGTCACRGAGGGCCTCGTGCCGCCAGATATTTACGCCAGCATCGTCTTTGCGATTTTGCTGTCGACCGTAATCAGTCCGCTGCTTCTCAAGACCACCCTGGCCTTTTTCCCCTACGATTATGATTACGAACAACACGACAGCCAAAGTGTCCAGAGAGAAGACAGCGAACCAGCGATAAAAGGAGCAAAGGCTGCCATCGAAGCCGAATGACACCTTGTGAACTATAAGATTCTTTTGAAACTGGTATGGKTACTAGTAAATTTTCGTCACTATACTGTGATAACAARCTGTGCGCACTGAAACTGATAAAAAAACAAAACCGTTCGACTTCCACAGATAGGACGAAGAAATCTATTTCACCTTTTCTATCCAAAAATGTATAYTTACGTTTCCCTGCCTTTGGCTTGGTGATTMACACGTGAAACCACCTATAGGACCTTTTTGGTAAGAGGAATGTTTTTCTTGCTGTCCTTGTCACTTTCTGAGGCGGCGGAGCGTTCGCGATCTCTTCGCTCCCTGGTCATTGCCCAGGCCGAGGTTGCTCGCTTGCGACCCCATACGAGACCCAGTGCGGCCATMGTATCGATGATCAGCTTGCTAGGATTRTACTGCGTCAAAATGCCAAACTCGGAACAGGCATAGTCAAAGGGATATTTGTGGTGCCAGTTGTGCCATCCCTCGCCACCGGTAAACGCGTTCACGAACGGGTTCTCCCCGGCCACCGATTTGGTATCGTAGGGGCGGTCTCCGTAGAGATGGGCGGCGGAATTGACGAGGAAGGTGAAGTGCAGCACGCAGCAATACCGAAGCGCACCGGCCACGTAGAGCGCRTTCCAGTAGTCTTCTCCCCATCCATAGTGCGCAATCTGGGCCGGGAGGAACCACACAAAATAAAAGGCATAAAACGGATCGCACATGTGCTGGATGCGAACCAAAGGATCTTCCCAGAGGTCGGTGCGGTCGATCTTCTCCAAGGCCGCCACTCGGTCCGGGTGCTTTTTCAAAATGAGCCAGCCAAAGTGGGAATAGAAGAACCCCCTTGTCGAATTGTGTGGATCCGCGTCTGGCATGCGTTTGGTTGGAAAAAGACGCGCAAACTCTGTGAGTCAAACGGTCAAATACTACTAAAGGAGTCCATGCTGGTCCGCGACCACATAATCATGCAACACGTGAAGCGATGCACGCAAGGTAACACCAACAACCCAAATAAACGTACCTGTTTCCGAATATGCATGGTGGATGCGATGGTTGGTGGCCCAGGTRTAGACACTGCCCTGGTATGCCATCGAATTGGTGATGATTAGATACAATCGGAACAGGAAGTGGGCCTCGTACGTTCGGTGGGCCCACAAACGGTGTGCTCCCACGGTGACACCGTAGCCGGTAATCGGCCAGAGAATCTGGGCAAAGAAAAGCGTTTCGGCAGAGCATTCCTTGATCAGGAACAGACCTTTCAATGCAGTGTAATGGACCCCGATGAAGTAAATGACGGAAGGCCAGTGGACGTTCCAATTGCTGATATGATACCAGCACAGACTGGGRATGTTGGAGAACATTTCCCAGGAAAGGTCCAATCGCTTGCCATCGATATTGGCCGTCGGGGCCAATTTCATTGTGCTAATCTCCAGCATCGTGCTGTGTATATGTGCGGAATCTCCTGTCTTGTCTACTCCTGGATCTACRACAATCCACTTTAGATTGAATTRTGTTTCGTGCTGTTTAAGACAGTAATGAGCAGATGTTGTTTCGTTACAATCTTTGAGAGAACCGAACACTAATGGAATAGCAGTTCAGCATCAAAGTGAGCTGACCAACCGAAACCGCCGAATTTAGCAGCCGCATTTTTTCGTTTCCCCATGCTCGTGCTCGTATCATGCGGTACCAGAATTATGTGGAACGTGTGTTGGGCCATTCGGATTTTCTCTTCTTGATTCTCTTCTTGATTCGTACCAAGTTCAGTTCCAGTTCAGTTGTTTCCTTTTTCCATTCTGCTACGGTAGGTTACACGTAGCGGTAGTACCGTGCAGCATTTGTCATTTTGGTTTGACCATTGAATCACGGAAATGAAAGATTGATTGCCTCCGCTCCGTCTTCATAACCTCTCCGCCATTTACAGTACGTGCACATCGTAGGCTATTCAGTACAAGTAACATGAATCAATCTCGAAAAACGAGGCTACACAAAACAGAATTGTTGCCAATTGCTTAATAATTACTTACTACTATGTTTTGAAACTGTAAAAAGATATACAAATATCCTTTGTACCCGTGGCAGATCAACGACATAGAAAATCCCCGTCGATCACCATACACCATGTGATGAGTATTTAGATGACGGCCATGGCCATGGCAGCGCCAAATTCTGCCACAAGATCCGCAATTGTCCTCCATACCTGCAGGTCTGCTCTGGGAGCAGCAAGATCCTGCAACCAGCTGAGATCGTAGTTGTTGGTCCGGATTCTGATGGTGGTTGAAAAGCCAACCTCTTTCGACTTGACTTTGCTTTCTTGAAGAACATGTGTGCCTGCTCCTTGAGAATCTTCAGTCTTGCATCAATGTACTCAGCCTTCAAGCACTGTGCACCCAAAGAATTAGGTCTATCTGTGGGAATGGCCTCAGTGAGAGTCGCCCGATGACAGATGCAAAGTATTTTTCCAATGATAGAAGGGCACATAAAACCAAAAGTACATCAGACTCTTTCTTGACTTATAACAACCTTAGTAATGACTGGATACTACTATAACAGTTCCTTTAAATACAAAAAGAAGAAGCACTATTCTAATTGCCCAAATATTGAGCTTATTTCAGTAGAAGTAAAGGTGTTAGGGTACAATCATTCAGGGACAGAGGAAGTAACTGATACATACTATGAAGTACTTCTACTACAGTTGTGCGTAGTCTTAGCACTCATATGTTATTCAAATAGGTATTTTTTCTGACCACATTTTTCTCTGCAGTATCGTACCGGTAGTAGTACTGCACTTTGGTACTTGTGAGCCTAAATCATGAGTAGTAGATAGTGAATAAGCTCGCTCTTTATTGCAAACACAGAGCACACATACATTTTGCAGGTTATGAGCAACAACAACAGACTTACCTCCCATGC